TTTTCGTCCGTCGACGTAGTTACGAAAGTTGATCGACTCGAGGTAAGGCACATTATGCCTTTCTCAATTTTCAGAAATGTGATTTTTGATAGATTTTCTATTTCAAATTCGTTTTCCGTTAGCGAAAAATGGGTATAACTTTGCACCGGTAAAACGTTTACCGCGTAACTTTTGGTATGTTATAGATATTGTAATTTTGCACGTTTTGAATATTTTATGGAAGATTTTCACCGGGTATTTTGAATTCTGCGGAGTTTTCATCGAATACGAAATTATTTGGATGTTGAAAAATATTGCTTCAGTACATTGAAAGTCTTGAAATGATGTTTTCTACGATCTCTGGAAATTTAATAATTTTCTAAAACTATGAATTTTGATCTGTTGGATTTTCGTTGTCTGCCGTTATACTCTCCGACGATATTCTGATACGAATTTGATTTCTCTGTATCGGATGTGAAATCATGTTGATGTGTTGTGCATGATATCAGAAGGGAGTTATAAGGGGCCAGAATCCTTTGAGATTCTGTCTGTGTCAGGAAAAGGAGGCATAAGGAGCCAGAATCCTTTGAGATTCTGTCAGGGTCCGGGAATCCAAAAATAAATTCTGATCTGATAATTCTGAATATATGATATATTCTGGTGCTGTAAGCACAAGGGAGGCATAAGGGGCTAGAATCCTTTGAGATTCTGTCGGTGTCAGAGAAGGGAGGCATAAGGGGCCAGAATCCGTTGAGATTCTGTCTGGGTCAGGGATATGTGATATGTGATTTGTGATCTTATCTGCTAGACAATGTGCTTTATGATTTGTACGATTCTGTGATATGTGATTTGAAATACGATCAGAACTCTGATTTGAATAATTCTGTTTTATGAAATGATTCAGTTCTTCTGTATCAGTTATTTAATTTCTGTTTGATTATCTGTTTTGTATACATATCTGTATTCTGTTAAATTATATGAGTTTCTGTACGATTATCTGAATTCTGTACAGCTACTTGAATAAACTATTCTGATGATTTTTTATGTGAGTTTCTGGAGATTTTGATTGGCTAATGTAGTCTTGCTGAGCTGTTAGCTCATCCTTGTTATCTGTGTGGTTTTCAGGTTCTGGGAAAGGGAAGGAGGTGTTGGACTAGCCGTTCTGTGTCTGATCTGAGATTAAATATTTTTTGTACTTTGGATTTTTGTACGGTCATGGCTATTATGTTCTTCTGTTCTGTTCTTTATGTTTATAGTCATGCACTATATTGTACATGATTATTTTGAAAGAATGAGAAGAAAGAAAATGTTAGATGAATTTCTGTATATTGGAAGTTTAATAGTAGCTCTGTGTTTTCTGTATGATTATTCGAAAGAAAGTTTGAAACCAAATTCCAAAGCTAGATCCTGGATTCATCCGTTGCGACTCGACGCGATGGGATTCGTTCCGGTCGAGTTGGGTCGTGACAGTTTCATTGTTTAATAATGTGACTTGTTTGTTAAATATTATTGGTAGTTCAAGTAAAAGAAGAGATATGCTAAGAGGAAAGCATTATGACAAAATACTTGAGCAACTACAAAGTGGAGTTGCCAAAGGTAGAGTTTTAAATCAAGAAATTGCTTTTCAAAGACCAGGAGACACTAGTTGGGGTTCTCATTACAATTCACTTATCAGTTTAATTCTTTTCTGTGGATCTATAATAGAAGTTCTTGAAATATTAATACACGAGGGATCTAGCAGTGAGCAAAAAAGGTGAAGCATATTCCCTACTTGAATCCATGCAAACTTTTGATTTTCCTTTCAATTTGCATATGATGAAGACTATATTAAGAGTTACAAATGAGTTATCCCAAGTACTACAAAAGAAGGATCAAGATATTATAAATGCCAAGACTTGGTCAAAGTTTCAAAACAAAGACTTCAAAATATGAGAAATTATGGGTGGGATAATTTATTTAAGAAACTTGGATTATTTTTTGAGAAGAATAACATAAGTATTCCAAATATGACTGATACATTTCTGATGCGAGGAATATCAAGACGTCGTACAGAAAGTATAACAAATATGCATCATTATCAAATTGAATTATTTTACACAGTTATAGATATGCAACTTCAAGAGCTCAACAACAACTTTGATGAAATTAATACATAATTACTTATGTGTGTGGCATGTTTGAATCCATGTCAGTCATTTTCAATTTTCGATAAAGAACGATTAATGTGTCTAATCTCCCATCGATGGATGTGTTGCCAAGGCTCGGATGTGCACACTGGCTCGTCGTGCCCCTTGGTGCGGCGGGCTGAAGGGCGGGTCATCTTCTCGTTGGCTTCCAATAATAAGGGGTTTTTTTTAAACACTGTCGTTGCCAGGTCCCAAGTCCTGGATGTGAAAAGTGGAGGGTTGCGTTAGGTAGTCAACAGCCAGCGTAAAACTTGTCGAACAATAATGACATGAATCCTTTAAGAAATTGTGTTAATGCTAGGGCGTCCCCTGGAAGCGACGCGCTGTATGGCCTGAATACAGTGACAAGTGTGCAAGGGCCGCTGCATCGGCGCCTGGGTGTAGTGTTAAATAGACAAGGGTTCCAACATCAAGGACGGATGTGGGCAAAGAAGCTAATCCATGAAACTAAAATTAGGATATTAACTTGGAATATAAATTCACTTACAGGAAAATTAATGGAATTAATAGATATTATGATTCATAGGAAGTTAAATATTTTGTGCATTCAGGAAACTAAATGGGTTGGAGAGAAGGCTAAGGAAATTGATAGTTTAGGATTTAAACTTTGGTATTCGGGTAGGAGTCGTACTAGAAATGGTGTAGGTGTTATTATAGATAAGAGTTTAAAGGATAATGTTATAAAAATTAATAGAATTGGAGATAGAATTATAGCTTTAAAGATTGTTGTTGATGATAAGATTATTAATATTATAAGTGCTTATGCTCCTCAAGTAGGTGATCAAGTCATTAATAAGAGTACCCGTTTTAGATATCTTGGATCAATTGTTCATGGTGATGGTGAAATAGATGGGGATATTATCAGCAGAATTCAAGTTGGATGGTTGAAGTGGAGGAATGCATCGGGCTTGTTATGTGATAGAAATGTACCCCTCAAACTTAAGGGAAAATTTTATAAGATAGTAGTGAGGCCTGCAATGCTTTATAGTGTCGAATGTTGGCCATTAAAAGAAAAGCATAATACTAAGTTAAGTGTGGCAGAGATGAGAATGCTCAGGTGGATGAGTGGCTTTATCCTTAGAGATAAGATACAAAATGAGCATATACGTGAAAAGTTGGAGTAGCTCCAGTATAAGATAAGATTAGAGAGAGTTGCCTTAGATGGTTTGGTCACATAAAACAGCGGCCTTCCGATGACCCGGTTAGGAGAGTAGAGGTAATAGATTTGACTTATGCTAAGAAAGGTAGGGGTATACCAAAAAAGACTTGGTTAGAAAATATTAGGAATGACCTTTCTTTATTAGATTTAAATGAGAATTTGACTTTTAATAGGACAGAATAGAGAAAAAGGATTCATGTAGCTGACCCCACGTAGTGGGATAAAGGCTTGATGTTGTTGTTGATAAAGAACGATTATTACACCTTGCAAAATTTTATCCGTCAGATTTTTCAGAAATGAATCTCATTATACTAGATAATCAAATTGAGAATTTCATTGTTGATATGAAATCGAATTATGTATTTATGAATTTAAAAGGACTTTGAGAACTTGCTCAAAAAATGGTGGAGACTAGGAAGAATGATATTTATCCTTTGGTGTTCTTACTTATAAAGCTTGCTCTGATATTGTCAATTGCTACAACAATAGTTGAACGAGCATTTTCTACAATGAACATTATAAAGAATCGTTTACACAATCGTATGGAAGACTCTTGGATGAATGATTATTTACTTACTTATATTGAAAATGATATTTTAAATGGTATTGACAATGACTTGATTGTACAACGATTTCAAAAAATGAAGACTCCACAGGAAAAATTATAAATGACAAATAAGAAGAATCTCAATATTAGTGTTCTCAATTATAAGTTTTTTTTTCTTTGTCATATATTTTATGTTTTTATATTAAATCTAATGATTTAAAAAAAAAATTAAAACTGCAATTGATAGTCCCAAATCCAGAGGAAAAAGGTTGAGGGTTTTTTTTACTTCAATGAATTGTGCCCCAACATGAAAAAAATTCTGGCTTCGCCCCTGCCTACATGCAAGTAATGGGAGGAGCCTAAGCCAGTATTGGAAGCCTGGGGGGCTATGCGCCGAGTCTAAGGAGGTTGACACCAGAGTTGAAGCCTAAGCGCCAAACCAAGCAACTAAGTAGAAATATCTAGTTGTTGTTTTTTTCTTTTTTTAGGAAGCAAAGTAGTCACTTAAGTGGCAATCATGGGTGCCTAGGCAACCAATCTCACACCTGTATTAAGACTTATCTATGAATACTCACTTAATGGTTATGCATGTAGGTCATTCTTAAGTTCACCGTATAAATCCTAATGCTTGTTAGTTTGAGCTCTCGGTGAGTTGTTTTGGGCACTTGTATTGCAACACGATGGCTTAACCTTATCGATTTAAGCAATTTGATGAAATCGAGTCAAACACACTGAGGAAGTTTTAAGAAATATGCTACATGGATGTTTCTTAGATTCCTAATTTTTTTATTTTTTACATGATTCATGACTTCATGCATGAAAGTTTTTTTTATATAGTGACTCTAAAGTCATATTTAGTTTTAGTACTGTCAAATAAATGCCAACTGGATAATTGCCTAATTAAAACCTAAGTAATATCCACAGAAGCAACGCAAGCTGAAAGCAGCTTCATAGACCAAAAATCTGCACAGACGATTGATATACCACATGAAACATTTTTAGACCATCAAGCTAAATCCTAGCAATATTCGATGCGAATAAACCAAATGACCAGTCGATCATAAAAACGACAGAGGATGATCGAATAGGGGATAAGAACGAGGTGAAAAAAAAGTAAGAAAATACGGACCAAGCCGTGGCGCTCGCCAGCCTGAAAGGCGACCTTCTGCTGGCTCATCGCCTGTGTGTAAATCTGCGAAAGTGAGTTTGCAGCGCTGCAGAAGGTTGAGTACATGGTCCGATCAACCTCGTCCAGCCTCGATGCGTCCGATTTCCTCTTCTTAGCCATCGCCGCATCTACCGACCGCCGATCCACCTCGTCTAGCCAAGAGCCGACTACACCACAAAGTCCTCTCTCTCTCTTCTCTCTCTTCTCTCTCTCAGCCAATCGGTTACGCAAAAGGGCGCAGCCAACCAGTTCCGCAAAAGGGCTAGGAGACATATATTATCTGCTATATTTATGAATTATTTATTAAAATTCATAGCTAAACAAATTTATCAACTAATTTGCATTTGAATGTTAATTTGAAAAATGATTTGAACCAAATTCAAGCTTTCATGCATCAGCCGCGTGATGTCTTCTCTAGTAAACTTCGTGAACTTCTCTACTCTGTCACTCACATTGATGCCTCTGCTTAACAAAAGACAAACATGAACTTCCTGCAATATTTTGTCATTGTCTCTCCCCTTCTCCTTTCTCAAACAATCAAATCTAGGTCATGTTTACCCCTCTTCCCTTTCACACTCTCCCAAATCGCATAGATGCATTTCTCCTTCACTCGGCAAGGATAACAATTAGATCAAGTGGAATGGAGGACTATGGCAAAATAGTATAACATGAACTTTCAAGCATGTTCCAAGAAAAAAAAAAGAGCTTGTTTATCCAATTTTGGATACCATGTGTAATAGCTCAAGTTCTTAACTATCGAGATATTGTCCGCTTTGGTCTAAGGGCATCACATTTTTTTCCCTGTAGGTGTAACTTATTAAAAGGTCACCCTACCCAGGATTTCTCTAGGATGAGTAAGCTTAACTATGGAGTTTTTTAGTGAATTTTGATCATTACACCCAAAGGCGTCTTGATGTTTAAAAGTTTAGCTTTTTTTACCTAAGAGGTTTTACAATCTCTTCTATTAAGTAACTTATGTCCATGTCAGTATCTTTATCTTTATCCTAGAATCATCCACTAGGTGGATAAGATTTTAGAGGTGTCCTCTACAAGTTCAAATGATGACTCCCACCACATAGCACGTTATCACATACAAGATTCAAGAGGTGGCTCCCATGGCATAGCAGTTTATCTTTTGTGGCACTTAGTTTTCATCTTCTAGCTAGCCTATTGATCTAAAACTATTTGTAATAGCTCAAACATTTAACTATCGAGATATTGTCTTTTTTGGCCTAAGAATCTCACGATTTTGTTTTATTGGTGCAAATTTCTAGGAGGTCACCCATCCCATGATTTCTCATGGATGAGCATGCTTAACTGTAGAGTTTCTCAGTGAATTCCAACCATTACACTAAAAAGGTTCCTTAATGTTCAAGAGTTTAGCTTCTTTTTTCTTAAGGAATTTTACATCATGAGCCATATATGGTTGTTAGTGTAATGATTGCTTATACACAAATGCCATGAATTGAATCTAATAAGAATTTCAAGTTTGTTTAGTACTTATTAAATTCTTGTAAATACATAGAATCATTTTAATATTTAGTTAATCATGAATTGAAATTATAATTTAAATTAGAAAAGAAAAATGCTAAGTGCAAAATTCTCTTTAGTAGCACTGTGGTGTTAAGCTCTCCTTTTGGTGTTGAAATAATTTTATTCTTTGAATTATTGCAATGCTAAAATGGTGGTGTTGCCCTCTCTGTTACACTGGCTGTTAAATAGGATAGTGTTGTGGCATTGCTACACTAAGCTCTCTATCATGAATGTGGAAATTTTCCTATAAGATTGTTGCAACTTTGGGGAAGGTAACACTATGGCACAAAGTCTATAAATATCTAAATCCATTTTTTAAATTTATTTATCATTTTCTAAGGATAGTCAGTGAGAAAGATAGAGGGGGAGAGAGAATCCTAGATAGAGAAGTTAGTTTTGGATGTCATGGGGCCTATTTTGCCTGTTGAAAATTTTGTCTGAATCAAGATAGGTTATTGTTACCCTATCTTAGTTTCAATTTAGGTCATTCATGTGAGATTTTTGGTAATTTATTTGATTTAATAAAGTTAGGGAAACATTCCACAGTGTAACATTTTGTATATTGTAGAATAGATCATTATAGTTATGTTAACATGAAAAAATTAAGTGTTTTGGTAAGTATGTTAAAAATGATAGAAGTGGCTATAGAGTAATATGGCTTCCAAATGATGCCATAGATTTTGCTCATAATTGGTTTTGATATTTGTAAACATTGAATGTGCACACCAGTAATTCCCCAAAAATATGAATGTATTCATTATACATGTGAAGATTTGTATATTCTTGCATTATGTTATATATTATTCATACATATTAAAATTATTATTATTTTTGTGTTTATATGACTGGATATATGAAATAATCACTTGGTTTTATGAGGGCATAAAATTTTGAATAAATGAATTATGGTAAACACAAGGAGTTATAAGGGAGTGCTACTATATATATGAATTGTATGGGAGGCATAAAGGCCTAATGTTATACAAATGAGATACTTGGAAGATATAAAGACTTATACGAACTAATGTGATGTGATGATTTTTTTTTTTTTGAAGAAAAGCATAAATGCTTCATTATAGTAAAAAAAACTTAATTACACCCTAATGTCAATTGATTCCTCCTTTAACACTTCAGTAAAAGTAGGAGGAATCTTATTCATCACTAAATCATCCTAAATAACTAATACTTGCATAGTTAGCACATAGGTCCGCTAACTGCAATTTCTACTAACACAATTAAAAATAACATAATTAAAGTCTTTGATAAATGAAAGGTCTCCCAACTCATTGCTACCTTTCCTTATAATGCCTTGAATGAAGTTAATGACATTTTGATTATCTCCTTCTATGATAATACCTTTGTAAGCATACATCCATTCTCTAATGACCTATTTGATAGAAAGAATAACTTGAAGTTCCAAGGAAGAGACGTCCCAATGAATAAGCTTCTTGCCAAATGCCATCAAAAATCTTCCTCTATGTTCTCGAAATACTCCTCAAATCCCAGCCTTGTACGAAGTATTTAGTGAAGCATCAAAGTTTACTTTTACCCAATCAGGTGGAGGGGGATGCCAAGTACCTTCAAACAACCTAACCGGTTGGTTAACATCCCAGATACCCGAGTTCATATTATTTAAATTCTTGGAAACCGCAGCATAACTCACCACATTAGTGGCTATCAACCAAGAGCTTGATCGGCTGTCTTCATGCACAAGTTCATTCCTAGCTCTCCATGATAAATATACCAAGTTGCAAAGGAAATTAATCAACCAGAGATTATTGCTTTGAAGCCATATTAAACAGGTTTCAAAAGAATTGAAACTAGGAATTCCAAAACCCCATTTGTTCAAGTGCTGGATTACTTCATTTAATTTCCAACATTTCGTAACTATATGTTCAATGTCTTCAGGTTCTTCACATCCCCATGGGCAGCTTTCCAAATTTTGTAGTCTTCAGTGAAAAGAAATTGATTTGTAGGGATTGCCTTGTGAAGAAGTCTCCACCAAAAGTTCTCGACTTTAGAGCTTAGATTAGCCTTTTTAAGCCAATCTCATTCATGAAAAACAACTGATTATTTTTCCAAATACTCCATAGCCATTGCTATAATAGTCTTTCCTGGAATCAAATGAATCAATTCCAACTTATCCTCTTCCTCTTCACACGAGATTTGAACATCATTTATCAAATTTACAAGTTCTGGACCACATATTTCTGCTATCTTTGCTACATTCTAGCTCCCATTGGTAATTAACCTGTCCACCGTGAAGTCATAGCTCTCTATAGCTTGCACAAATGTTGGCCATTTATCTAAACTTCTATCCAATACCCATGTATCTTTGAATACATTCACATAAGTTCCATTTGACATCCTCCATTTGAAAATTGGTTTTAGAAACTTTTCCCCACTTTTAAGCAGATTCCAAGCTATTGATCCAGAATTGCCCGAGGAGTTGTTATCCCTAATTTTGCCATATTTAGGTACTAAGAGCTTATGCATTAATGCTTCTTTATCCTGATAATACTTCCATGCCAGTTTAGCTCTTAGTGGTGTAGCTTTCTTCACACTTGGAACCAAACCACATCCTCCTTAAGATTTTGGTTTGCATAAACATTCCCAACTTACATAGTGAATACCATTTTTTCCATCACATTTGCTCCATATAAAACTCCTGCATAGTTTGTCAATTTCATACAAAATACTTTTGGGAACCAAAGAAAGGGAAGAGTGGAATGTAGGGAATGATAGAAATACAAATTTGACTAATGTCAACCGGCCGGGCAAGGAAATGAACTCCCCCCCCCCCGCAAGGAAATGAACTCCCCCCCCCCCCATACATTTAACATACTTTGAACTTTGTCCAAAAGAAACTGGAAGTCATCTTTATAAAGTCTCCTTAAAGCCATTTTGATGCCCAAGTATGAAAACTCCTTTATCTCCTTTAGGTTCATGTCTCTAGCAATTATTCTTCTCCTTCTTTTTTTGACAAATTTCCCAAACAGCACTCCAGATTTTTTTTATTCACACATCGACCTGTCCAACTACAAAAGTCCATGACTATGCTTTTAACCTCCTTGATCATCTTTATTCTTGCTTTTGAAAAAACCATGATATCATCGGCGTAAAGGAGGTGGGAGATCAAAGGCCCATTAGGAGAAATTTGAATGCCAATCGAATCCTTTTTTTTATAAAATGCATTGGATAATAATTGAGCACATAAAATGAACAAGAATGGGGATAACATACACCCTTGACGAAAACCACTTTTTGCTTGTATCCAATTGGACAATTTTCCATTTATGGATAATGAAAAGTAAGGATTAAAAACACAATCCATAACAAGATTGGAGAAACTAGATGGAAAGCTGAAATATTCCAAAGCTTTACATAAGGTTGGCCAACCCATTGAATCATTGGCTTGCTCCATATCTATTTCAAAAGAAACTAAACCTTTGGAAGATTTAGAGTACCTGAGTTTGTGGAAGACTTCATGGGCTACCAATACATTGTCCGATAGAGATCTACCTTTCAATAATGCCACTTGCTCCACCGAAATAAGTTTATGAATGACAAGCAATAGTCTATTCAAGATCATCTTTGCTGCTATCTTGTAAATTGAGGTACATAAACTGATTTGTCTGAAGTTAGAGGGAGATAAAGGGTTCTTTACCTTAGGAATCAATACAATAATTGTTTTTTCCACTCCTTGCACATTCTCTAGATTTTGAAGAAATCA